GGGCCGCCGGGCCCACAGGTGCGAGGCACGGGCCGGCGGGACGCCCGCGTGGGTGCCTCGCCGCTTTCTCTCTCCCCGCGCCGGCTCTCCCGTTTGGAGACTCGGCAGTGCCTGCGGGTCGGTCTGAGTTCACCGCTCCTCTTCCCCTCCTGGGCTGTCTCCTCCCACTTCTTGGCGGTCTCCCTGTTTGTGCGTGCGCTTGCGGCGCGGTTTGTTTTGTCGTGGGTTCCTCGTTCGCGGAGGTCTGACTTTTGCGGGGGGACAAACGCGAGTGGCGCGCTTCCCCCCGACGCTCGCGCCGCGGGTGTTCACCGGTGTGGTCCCCCTCGGCTCACTGGAGCGCTCGGAGACCCCGCTTGCTGGCGTTTTTGTCCTGGCGCCGGCGAGGGGTCTTGGGACACCTGTCCGGGCGATGCCACCGCAAGCCTGGAAGACTCCGTGTCCGAGAGAAGAGGGCGCAGCGGGAGCAGGGGTGTCCGCGCTGCGTGTGCGTGCGTGTGTATGCGTGTGTGTGTGCCCGCGTGTGTGTGGCGATCTGACCGTTGCGCCGCATTTCGCCGCGTCCGCATTGGCGCGGCTGTGGGGAAGCGGCGTAGCCGAGCCCTCCACAGCGCCGCGGTGGCACCAGCGTGGCGCCCAGCGCGCTGAGAGCGCGAGCAGCCGTTCTTCGGAACGTGGTTGTGTTACTTCGAAGCCATGGTGTGTATATATGGATGTGCACACGTGTGTGTGTGTGTGTGTGTGTGTATGTGTGTGTCTGTTTGGGCCGCCTGGTCTCCTAGGAGGCCTTCGTCAGCAGCGCCATGTGACAATGGTCTGGAACCGCTGGTGTGCGTGGTGCTATATTTAGCCCTGGTGATCGCTGATGGCCAGGGAGGGTCTCTGAGCGAGCGCATCAAGGGGAAGCGGCCAGGGGTCAGGGTGGTGCCCTTTGAAGGGTGTGGGCACAGTCAGACTCAGATGTCGCGAGTGATTACTCTTTCCCGCTGAGGACACGCTGCAGCTGGGCATGTGATGACTGCCTTCGTCTGAACACAGTTGAGCGGTGGAGGGCCGCCTAGGCTGAGAAACAGGTTGAAAATGAAGCAGCGTATACAGCTGATTGGAGAGTTGGGAGGAAGTTACCGGTAAAATGAGGTTTACAGAAAATGTAGAATAGAGTTCTAAAAAAGGGAAGGGGATAAAAATGTTTGTTGAGGTTTTTATGGCAGGGGAAAAAAAGGAAAAACAAAAAAGGAACGAAAGAATGGGCAGCTGGTTAAGCCCTGTCATTAATGGCAATTTTGTTGGAGGGGGCAATGTTTGAGCCAGTGAGGACCTAGCACTTTGGACAGAAGTCGGGGTTCACAAGCAGTTCTTGCTGTTACTCCTTTCAAGCAGATTTTGTGGCAAGGATCAGACCAGCCGCTGATAGCAAGTTTCTTGTTGGCACGGGTCCCCTGCATGTGGGTCAGTCCTTTGTTTTGATAGAGGTGGCAACTAAGCTACTTGTGGCTACTAAGCATACTGGCCTTGCACTTGCCAGTTGTCTATGGCCTGTTCAGTTCTTAGCATTTATTTCTCCCACGGTGCGTTTGCAGTTTTCCTTCACATTATGTGCTTCAGTAGACATTTCATCTGACATCACCACACCTGATACCTGGGGCACATGTTGTCTTTGGAGAAGAGAATCACAAGACTAGATTTGCATTTGTTGTCTTTTTCCTCCTAGCTTAGCATGGGATCTAATATATTCTTAAGCAAATATAACTAAGAATTTCAAAATATTCACTGTTTATCATAATCATACGAACTTCGTGTACTATTACTAATATTTTATTCTGACTAAAATTAAGTACTGGCTGATAAGAGTACAGTAGACTAAAGAAAACCCACTGAGTACTAACCACCGTTCTACAGCACAGAGGAATGTTAGGAACACTGAGGGGAGAGCGTGAGGACAGTGCCCCATAGTGGGCCTTTTGTACAGCACAGGAAGCCTTGGGATTGGCTCTGTCAGTCCCCAAGGGCTTCCTGGAAGAACTGAACTTGAGGAACCTTTGGGTGATTAATCAGAGCCTTGCCTGGGGAAGGACTTGGGGAAGGAAGGCAGGCTGTCTTGCTTGGGAGAAGAATCAGGAATCCCTGAGCAAGATTAAGAATCTTCATTCTGAGGCCACAAATAGTGAGTGAAAAGCTTTTAAAAATAACGTTTTCTGAAGTCTTCCAGAGGAAAACTGTACTATTGGAAATGCTGCTTAAGACTTACGGGATTCTTTCGTTAGTGGTTGAATCTGGTTACCTTTCTACTTCTTTCACTTTTCCAGAACTACATATAGTTGCCCTTTTTTGGCGGGGGGGATGTCCCAGGTATACCTATAAAAAATAGATCATTATAAGTCTGATGATTCTAGAATAATAGATGTAGCCTAATGCCATGGGCAGCATTCTGCCCTGGGAGTAGGGGTGGGTTTTGAAGGGTCTGGAACCCTAACAAGCTGCAAGTCTTCTCCCTGTACTGCAGTATCTGTAAAACGGACAGGAGTGCTGCACTAGGTGATTTATGAATTTCTTTTATCAGTGTCATAGCTGCTGTACTTTACTGCGCTGTCACTTCATAAGCTTGCTCCCTGTATAGGAAGAGTTAATGAAAGAAGGGAGTGTTGTCAGCTACTTTCTGGGTATGTGATAATGAAGAGAGAAGAGTGAAAGCCTTCTTACTGACTGATTTATATGGAAATTTAATATGTTATTACATTGTTTTTTGCTTTTGTTATTCTCCTACCATTATTAAAAATTACTCATTATCATAAGGGAGAACCAGAAGAATATTCTTGGTCTACTAAATCAGTGTTGCTATCTACTAAATTTTTAAGTTCTCTTTTGACCAACCATTTTTCCCTTTAGGTTTATAGTCTTACTATTTCCTCTCAAGGCAGAAGCCATTCAGTTGATTCAAATTTTACTAGGAAATGCTGGTATGGAAATTATTTAACACAAAATAAAAATTAAGCCTTCTAAGAAAGGAAAACACCATATAGACTGCCCACCACCATCTTTCTATTTATGTAAAAGAGAAGACTGGAAGGGGATGGATAAACATAGTTTTTCAAGAACTTGCGCCCAAAGAGTAAAATTATCCCAGTAACCCAAAATATAACAAGAAAATCTTACTTTTACAAATATCTTCACTAAGTGTCAGGTCATGTTAAAATGAATTGGGTGTAGAAAAACAAAATCTTTTATTAAAAGCGCTCCCCATATGATATGCTATGACTTCCTGTGAGATCACGCTTGTGTGGATGGCCATGTGCCTACTTGCGTCTGTCTTGTTTATTATGGCAGCCTTTAGCCACATGGGGATATTTAAACCTACATTTATCTAAACGGGAAAGAAGTAAAGATTTAGTCTCTCAGTGGCGCTGGCCTCTGTGCATGCTCGGTAGTCACCGTGGCCAGTTGTGACTGCGCTGGACAGTGAAGAAGAGGGACACTTGCCGGATCCCAGCGCTTTTGACAGCTCTTGATTAGGTCATTATGATTTTGACTTTCCAGAAGATCATTTTTATTCTACTGGGAAAAGGAAATAATTTTCATCAAAAAATGGACATCAAAGAAATACATCAGGAAATATATCATAGTTTATGTATCACTTGTACAGTGTGAGCAGTTCCATTCTCCTAAGTCTAATAATATTCCAAGATCACAAACACCAATTTCTCTATATTTTTTACCCAGAACTCTGGTTGCCCTTTTGCGTTTTCCAAACCAGCACCAGCTATTCCTGCAGGAACAGCACCTGCCCTGTCAAAGACAAGGAGTGAGGAGCCACCTACTGTTCAGTTCAAGAACTGCATGGGAGTTGCAAATGACAAAGGCGGTTAAAAGTATAAAGGTGTCAGCATGTTCTGGATTCACTTCCCACTCAGCAAAGCCTGATTTCTTTCCTTTTCTTTTTCCTTTTCTTTTTTTTTTCTTTTCTTTTCTTTTCTTTTCTTTTCTTTTCTTTTCTTTTCTTTTCTTTTCTTTTCTTTTCCTTTCTTTCTTGAGGCAGGGTCTCACTATGTAGTTCAAGCTGGGCTTGAACTCGAGGTGATCCTCCTGCCTCAGCCTCCAGAGTGCTGGGATTATAGGCATGCACCATCATGCCCGGCTTCAAAGCCTGGTTTCTTAGGAAAGTTTTAAATGACACTCCAGGTCTAGAGTTGCCACTACTGAAATGTCATTTTGTGTTTTGGTAAACTACTAACAACACTACCAGACCAAGGTAACAAATCTTAGCTTTGTTTTTCTTCCAAGGAAACCAAAGGGTGTCACCACTTGAGTCAGAATTCCCTTCCTCTTCAGGTTAAGAATTAGTGAGAATTTATTAAGTAGCATTTAGGGCAGGTCAAACAAAATGCAAATTTATATATTTTTTGTGTGAATGCCTATAACTGAAATCCAGAATGGCTGTAACATCTCCATTTCATTATGGAGAGAA